ATAAGTTATAAAATTAAAACTTATTCATATCACATTTTATCTTGTTTACAATCATTAACAAAATAATCTTACATATAGCAAAACTAGTAATATTATCATAACAAAACTAATATTATAATACTAGTAAAAGTAGTATTTAGATCATAATAAAAGTATTATTTGTAAAATCTCTAAAATATATAAAAGTAATATATTTTAATTAGAATCAAGAAGTTAATTAATAAAATTAATAAAATAAATTAATAAATAACTAATAAATTAATGAATTAAATAATAATAAGATGAAATAATAATTTAAATATAATAATGTTATAAATTTAATAATCTTTATTAATAATACCTTATTTATTATTATATATTTCTTATATTATGATTTCAGATTATATTTTAGCTGATCATATCATAAACATATTCTTATTATCTACCTTTAATCTTATTATAATTATAATCTAATATTTATTATATTATATTTATAATTATATTAGTCTTTTTTATTTGTAATTAATAATAACTTTATTATATATTATCCTAGATAAATATTATCTTTTCAAGAAGTACTAAAAATAATAATAATATATATATTAATTTGCTTTTATATAAATCTAACTAGTTTTTACTATATAATTATTTTTTAAATTTATTCAAAGATTTTTTTTAAATTATTATAATTAATTTATATTTAATATTATTTAAAATTTTATTATAATAGTTTCTCAAATTTTTAAATATAAAATATAATATAATTAAATTTATTTAATAATATTATTTATAATTATTTTTTTCAAAATTATTCTTTTTAGTTTCTTAATTATTAATTATAATTAAAAAATTTTTTTATTTACTTTTTATTTTTTGAAATAAAATAATTATAAAAAGATTTAAATAAAATAATTATAAAAAGATTTAATTATATGATTATATAATATTAAATTATTATAATTTTATAAATTTATAAAATATTTTTAAAAATCTAAATAATTATTAATTATTTCTTTTAATAAATAATAAAATTATTTTCTTACATAATTAACTAGTTAAATTAAAGTAAAGTTTTTAAAATAATAATTAAATATATTTATTATATTAAGTTTATAATTATTTATTAAATTTAAAATATTATAATAGTAAGCTTTAAAAAGATTAAATTATTATTATAATTATATAAGAATTTAAATATTAAAAAAAATCAAATTATTTATATATTAATAATAAAACAAAATAAATAAATAATAAAATTAATAAATAAAAAAATAATATTATAATTATTAAATATAAAAAATATAAAAATAAGATTTTAAGAATAATATAAAAATTGTAAAGTAATATTTTTATAAAATATTATTATAAATACTTTTTTATTTAACTAATAAAATTAAGTATAAATAAGCATATACTATAAAAAAGCTATAAAAATAAAGTATAAAACTTATAAATAAAAAATAAATAATAAATAAAAAAATTTATATTTATTATTATTATAATAAAGAAGAAATTATATTATAAATAAGAAATTAAAATAAAATAATATAAATAAAGAAATTATAAAATATAAATCAGAAAAAACAAGATAAAAAATGAAAATTAATTAAATAAAATAATAAAATTCAAATAAATATTAATAATAGATATATTTAAATACAAGATTATATTATTTTATAATAGAAATATTTTTAATTCAGAATATTTCAGAATAAAATTAAATTTAAAATTAGAAATAATAAATTAAATATTCAGAATTATATAATTTTATAATTAAAATTTTTAATTTTAACTCAAATATTTAATATCTCAAATATCAAAATTATATTATTATTATTATTTTAAATTTTTTAGTTTATAATCTGAATTAATTAATTATAATAATTCTTCAATTTAAAAATTCAAGTAAAAATCTTGATAATTCTTTAATATTATATTAATTTTTAATACTTTATTTTTTATTATCAAAATCTTATATTATTTAGAAAAATACTACTTCTATTTATATATTTTTAAAAATATAAATTAATTTAAAAAAAGATAAATTACTATATATTATATAATTATTAGAATTAAAAAAATAATAAAAATAATAATTTCAATCTTTTTTAATTTATTATAAAAAGAATAATAAAATTAAGTTAAAGAAAAAAATATATATTATACTTGAATTAATAATTTATTTTTAAATCTAGTAAATAAAATAATAATTAAAAAATAATTCAATATAGCTTTAGTATAAAAAATGCAAATTAGATATAAATTAAAATATAAATATAATATTAAAAAGAGATTAAGAAGAATTAAAAAGAATCAAAATAATATTAACAAAAATAATTCAAGATATAATATGAATAAAATAAAGAAATTAAGAATATTCTTGATATGAGTTTCATCAGATTTTTGTCATATTTTTACCTGACTATCTGATTCAAAAAGCATAAATTTGAACTCATCAGACCTGATTATATTTTTTCATTGTTACATTTTCCTGATATCAATTAAATCAATGAAGTTCTTGATTTGAAGTCAAAAGAGATTTTTCTTGGAATATAATTTCAAATCTTATTTTATCTAAGTATTTGTAAATAGTATTAGCAAGATATATAGTGTTGAGTTTGCTATTTAGTTCATTTGTGATTTCACCAAGTGAAGAAAACTGATTTTTTAGAATAAACTTTGTTTTAATGTACACTTTTCAGTATTGGTCAGAGCTTTTGGCTGATCAAAATGTTTTTCAGAATGTGAGGAATTGGCATTTGATGATATCATATATTGTTGCATGTGAAATTTTGATCTTTGACAGCAGCCAGATAACTGCCGATAATTCACACCCATTGTTCACCCGTCAACTCCTTTTAAAAAGAACAAAACGTGATTATTTTTATTGTTTGTACGATGTCAATAGAATTGGCTTTTTAACTTCTGGATCGTCATTTTGCACGTTAAAACAAAGATGCATCGAAATCAGAACACCATAAAAGCAAAACAAAAGGATACCAAAAGTTAATCGGTGTTACACATAACAATAACGATTCTTTAAAACATGAATTTTCACAATAAATCATTACGACTAACTTCATTTAGTTTCCAAGCCCCTTTTTATTACCGGTTTTTTTAATTGTTTAAGAATCAAGTATCGCATGTAAATAATGGTAAACCATTTTTAGAAATTAATGTTAAAGTTTTTATTCTAAATGATATGCGCAGCAAAAGAATAATACATATCGATATAATTGCTATTCTCTTTAAAAGGCAGCAATAAACAGAGAAGAGGTTATATGATACGTTCCGATAACATCTGATCGCTTTGCATATCCGCGGTAATAAATACACGACGAAAGCTGCCAAATTTTTCATCCTAACAGCATGACTGAAAAAAAGTCAGGTAATCATTCACTTATTACAAATTATTGAAAACTTATACATAATTCTCTTAATTCTATTTAGAGAATAAAAGCCATGATCAGTCTTTTGTCACAAATTCAGGTCATTTTGACGACAGTACGTCGAGCAATAAAAAAAAACTTGACTTTACCGAAAAGAACATTATAATGCAAGGTAAGGTTTGATACAAATAAATTTAATTATATAAACACATTGGTTAAGAGAATTATAAAAACAGATGAGAATGCATCTGAAAGTTCTACCAGTCACCAAAATAACGATGTGAAACCAGAAAATATGGAACTCGATTCTGAAACAGAATCCAATTACGAATTCGAGCAAACACCAGATCTCTGCGAAGTCATTCCTGGGATATATCGTTTATTAGACTTATGCAAAGATGAAGGATCGAATGGCCTTGGTATGAAAAAGTTTTTTTGTTTAACATAAAGCTCTTACTGACTATAAATGCTTGCAGTGGATAAAATTATAATTTCGCAACAACATGTGAAACGTCTTTGTAACGAACTGGTGCCAAATAGTTTTAAGTCTATTTCTAAAATCGACTATAAAAAATTAAATACTCAACAATTTTGTCTCGTCGGATGCTATGGTCGTAATGAAATGATCGCCAAATTTTTATTAAACAAGAGTATTATTAATCAAAAAGTGTAAGTTTTATTTATTTTTACAATACTTAAACAAAAAACATTGACATCTATAAAAAATATTTAGTTATGAATTATTGTTAATGTCAACATGCTCAAAAAAGCCTTACAAATCAAATTCAACTATAAATATGACTTTGAGACCTGGAATATACCTTCTTAAATTTCCCTCATTTGAAGTTGATACGAGCACTTTCAAACATCAATTTTTGGTAATGCACTGGAGTGAAGATGGTTGTTATGAAGACTCAGCTTCCTCGCATCTTAAAAAGAATCTTTCAAATATGCACAGGTAACTATTGATTGATTTAATTAAGAATTTAAGTACAAAAATTTATGAATATAAATGTAAATCGATATTTAGATATCTCACAAAACTCACCGAACGCCAACTGTGCATAGTGAGCGAAACAGACTTGGAAAACATTGACTGGCAAGTAAACGAAGATGAATCAGTAGACGATTATCATGAAGATAATCTACTATGTGTTGACTTTGAGGTGAAAAAAAATGAGGAGCAAAAAGAAAATTTTGAACTTTCTCGTGGATTTGAGGTTCGTAATTGAATTTACATTGAATTGCTAAAGTTCCTCATACATTTTTATACGAAAAACAGAAAAGATATGTAAAGGACACTTTACGCGTGGCTTACAGATATATGGGAAAAGAGTGTATCGTTATTTTCTAAACACAAGAAAAAGTGTCTTTTACTTTTCATATATTTCGTGCATTTTCGTACTTTTACAAAATATAGGAATTCAAAATGTTAAATTTATTACATAATTACAGGTTCATATTCCAAAACTCATAATACGCGAAAATAGTTTTGCAAACGGAGGCAATCCTTTGCACCCTTTGATCGTTGATTCAGCTTTAAATCAAACGTTGTTTACTCGGGAACTCCTCATCGCAAAGAAAATCACTAAAAAAGTTACTATGAAGTTTGATTCTACCAAAAAAATTTGCGAATATTTCAAGAACATACTTGAGACACATGCCCTTGTTTTAAATCATCAATTGAAAATGGAAAAACTCGAGATTATTATAAATAATTGTTTAAATATGCCTGAGCTACTTAAACCATATGAGGATGCATTAAAAGCCCTAAAGATTGAAAAAGAATCAAGCTTAAATAAAGAAAAAGCGTTATCTCGGCAAAGAGCTGTTACAATGGAGAAAATTGCTTGGCAGCTTTTACGTTATACTTATAGGTATCTGTAATATTAAAATTATTAAAAAGTGTTCCTATTTATATTCGGATACTAATACGTTTTTTTATATAGTATATTCGAAGACAAATTGCAAATGTTCCAAACAGATCCTCATTCATCAAATGGAAAATCGAAAGAAAAAAGTATGCATTTATATTTTGCATGACCGGTTTGATATGCATCTCGCTAACACTTATTGTATTCAAGAAGCGAGCACGAGTTCAGCGGAGGAAAACCAGCCAAACAAAGTAACTGAAGAAGCAGATGAAGCAGGTTAGTTTTGCTGATTTCTATTATAACACAATTTGAATAATAATTTGTCTTTAATATGTAGTTATTAAAGAATTACAGGATAAATACCCACAAATCTATTCAGAAATCCAGAAAACTATAAATTTTATCGACCATGCACCATGGCAAGAACTCAAAAAAAGATACATTTTTGCGGAGCTTTGCATCTTGTCAAATCAAAATCGGTCTAAGAGCGGAGAAATTGAGATTTTGGAGTTTCTTAATACAAATAATAGTATTGATTCTCTTATAAATAAATTAAAGTCTGCAAATGATTGGCTGTTTAGAAGATTAAAAACAGCTTGGAAGAATTTGTTAGGTGAATCAACAATTGATAATCTATGGCGAAAAGCAAACGAGGATGCACAAAAAATTTCGGATGATATATTTACTAGTAAACTTCCTATGAATAATGATGTATTGTCAATATTTTTTAATGAATACGAGGCGTGGAGAAATCATATATTCCCAAACAAAGCAAAAACAATTTCACAAATGATTCTTAACTCCGATTCTGCACATATCGATATTGATCGTATTGAACGGGAATTTCAACAAAAAGAAAATGATATCGTAAAAGAAAATTTGGAAAGAATTCGTAACGAAGCTGAATTGAATTATCCTAGTGGTCGACTTTTTGAAGTTCTTGATTTGGCAAAGAAAAAAGGTAACTTCAGGTTGAGTTCGATTTATATGTCTTGCAAGAAATTCTGATGATTTATTTTTATCTTCAAGACAAGTATAATTCGAGTACATCTTATAAACTGACGTATGAAATCGAAATAGCTAGTCCAGCAAAATTACGACTTACATTTTTTCAAACTCAATTGAGTATGGAAGATACCTTAGAACTTGAAAAAAATGCATCTCATGTACCTCAACCAATTTTATACTCGCACGGTAGAAGTGAAAATTCTTTAGATATTGATCCAGAGATTTTTGAATTCAGGTAATCATGTTATAACCAATATTGATTAATATTATTATTATTCACAACTTCCAATCTTTTAATATTAACATATCTAGGCATATCACACAAATGGAAAAAAAATTTTTAGTATTTTTATGGAACAAAATTGGCAAAAGACTAGAAATATATTTTGATACTATTAAACATTTATCAAAAGCAATATCCAATCAAAGCGCACTTAAAAAACTTAATACAGGCAAACATTTTATGATTACAGTTAACGAGTTAAAAGGATTGATAGGAATCTATAGTAATGAAAAAGGCGTGGTAAGAATACTTATAATGTCTAATATCATCGATTTCATAAGGATAGGTATCAATTGGAGTCGCTCATTATTTTTCAGTTAAATACATATAGCATTAAGAAAGATCAAGCAAGTTTATATCTACATTATCGCAATATTCAACTTTATCAATGGTATAATAATATGGTGCCAGATATTGCACATTTCTTTTTCATAAAAAACACCGAAGATATATGCTTTGTTGAAAGAGATGGTCGTGCCCGTATTTATAATCTAGTGAATGATAGCTTTCACCCGGGGATAGCACAAATTTCACCCGATGCTATCAATGTTTGTAGTACTCCAGATGGCACATGTATCGTTGCCTTTGTTAAAGAAGAAACAACAGATGAAATCGAAATTGCGACATCAAGTCAATTCGATGAGAATCATAAGAACAGTTCTGAAACGCAAGGTAAAGCCATTTAATAATGAAAGCACTTTTTAACACCTTGATTTTACACTAATTCTTGTCTGCACTTTACAACAGTAAAACAATTCGTGCGAGGTTATGTGTATTTTCGTGAAAATTTTAGTCAACATCCGAGCAAAATCATCAATATTCCCTTCACCAAATCTGAACTCTTTCAATTCTCCACGTTTGAAAATCGTCAAATGCATTTAACTACAATTGATCAAGAAAAAGGCACTTTTCATTCAGCAATAGTAAAGATTACTCATGCAAAAACGCAATATCATCTCGAAAGACAAAAATCTTTCGGTAAAGTTAAAGTGGAAAATGAACAACCATACCTCATTATTGGAAATAAGACACACTTTAAACGTGATATCTATATAGGGGATTTGATAATGATTGGAGATGAAAAAAAACAAATAATCGAAATTATATCCAATACAGAATTAAAAATTTCTGGTCATTTTATGCAATTTGTTGATACCGATTATGGAGTTTGGAAAGAATATATCATCGAGAAACGAATAACGATCAATGGACTTTTTGATGTTTACTCAATGATATTTACAAAATACTCGATAACAAGTCCAATCGGTCGCGTAGATAAGCCATTGACACTTACGGTCGTAGTAGATAATTCGACTAACAACTTGGAAATAGGAATATACGCGTTTAAAATTCAAAGATATATTGAGAAAATGTTTGAGAAATTTAAAAATGAGACGAAAAAGCCACTCGGTCATTTGAATTATTTTACGACCAGATTTACAACCTTTCAAGATATTAAAGATAATTTCACTATTTATGAATTTGGCGAGTAAGTACATGGTGCATGTACATGTAATCCAAAATCATTAAACGCTAATATTGATATCGTTCTATACTTGTAGATGGGTGATCGATTTCTTTTGCCTAATTCCATTACAAATCGCCGTAGCTCGTGATAATGAATTTATTCCTCTTCAAGATGGTCTTTTATCTCCAGAAATAGAAAAGCCATTGGTAGATGAAGACCTTGGGTTTATTGGGAGTGTCAGTAAAACCATTTCTTTTGGATGGTATGAGGCTATTTTTGAGCATTATGCACATTTAACGGTCAAAGTCATTTCTTCGATGGGCGAACAATCATGTGGTAAATATAATATTCATACGAATATATGTACATGTACAATGTACTTATTTTATATATTTTCGTAACTAATAGGAAAGAGTTATTTATTAAATCATTGCGTTGGTTCAACTTTTGATGGCTCTGCTATGGTAACATATAGTTATTTGATTAAAAGAATCGATTAAAGTTATTTTACTGATTTGTTTATATCTATGATAAAAAAA